TTTTCAATTTTTGAGGGTAATGTCTTCGACTAGATACAATTTGTGATCTTTTGACGTATCATTGAAAGAAATCGGTTCGGTAAGATCTGAGAAAAAGTGGTAACAGACACAAAAAAAACAAATCATAGTAAATCCAATATCTTCTCAGCTTCGCATCGAAGCTAAAATTACCCTGTATATTAATTTATTTCATAATATAGAAATGGAGGATATGCAACATCACCTTTGATAGGAAAGTTTTGTGGATCAAAAATACTACCAATAATATCATCGATGGGAAATTCTTTGTTTATTCGATTTGTTTCGGATGCATCTAAATCAAGGAAAGGATTTTCGATACACTGGTATGCCACAGCAAAAGGTAATATTGTCATATAATTTTCTAGTAAAATATTTAAAAAAAAGTTATAATAATATGGTATATATTCAAGGTTGTGGTGGAACATTGAATTCTGGTATAGGTCATATTGTTTCACCAAATTATCCCTTGCCAGTTCAAGAAACTTTAGAATGTTTCTATAAAATAGTTGTTACTCAAGGTAGTCAAATTAAATTAACTATAGTGGATCTTGAGTTAACAGCTAGTGGATTTTCTGGATCTTCATGTCGAGATGACTATCTTGAAGTAAGAATTCATAATAATTCTTTTAAAATTTGGTTATAATATTATTTAATGATTATAATTTAACAAAAAACTATTAAGAAATAACTATATTTTGAATTTCTTTGATAATATTAATGTTAATATTTACATTAAAATATATATTAATCCATAAAATAAAACATAAATATCAATATATCGGATGTATCTCATATTTTTCGATAAATTTTAATAAAATCATAAAACTATATGAAAAAGTGTTTTACATATTTCCGATAAAGAAGAAAGGACATTTGAGTTTTTTCGAAAATTACCATAATTTACTTAATTTCGTCCGTTTCATGCTTAGTGTCCTACTTTTGGTGTGATGAATTTGTATACACATTTTATAACAATTCTCGTAAATCGAATTGTTTTTTTCTTTGCATTTTTAATAGTTCTATTACAATAATAATATTTATTTCATAGCTCATAATATGATAGATTTATTTATCTTATTTTTTATTAATAATCAAGTCACTATTTTTATGCAAAATGAACCACTGTAACCAAATTATAGCAATTCAAATAATTAGAAAATCGGATGTATATTATACGTATAACGTATTACTACTCTTTTAATATTTATCAAGTTTTTATTCAGCTAGAACAAAAAAACAATTAAATTTTTTATCAGAATCAAAATGATATATTTAACATACATTTCCATGTATACTTTTATTAAGTATAAAGGAAAATGTATGAAATCTTTGATTATTATTTTTTTTGTTATTAATCAATTTTGAAACTATACTTCAATTAGATATAGTCTATTAAATTTCTTCTTCTTCTTTTTCCTCGCCTTAATCCCAACTACTTGGGGTCGGCCACCCTTATCCTAAACTTCCACTTGACACGATC